ACTGTGTGAGTGTCCTCCCTGTTCTCTGTGTGTGTGTGTGTGCATAATCCACTAGCAAACTTCAAGTTGGTCCCACATGTTGTCTGCCAGCCACAAGCTTGAGAGGCTCTTAGGTCTGGGTACCAGCAATTGGAGGAGGTCAGGGTCTGAGGGACAGCTACCAGATAGACTGCATGCCTGCACTGAGTGTGCGTGTTTGTGTGTGTGCATATGCACCAACTGGGCGCCCAGACTCACTGCCAGCTGGAGCTGCCTAAAGACCCAGCCTCTCTCTAGCAGACCAGGAAGGCAATCCCCTGGAATCCCAACATCTACGTGATCTCTGACAGCACCATTTCTATACTAGCTCCTCTTTCAGCTCACATCACCCTTATACCCTTTTTTGCACTCTGCAGGTGCCCTGCAGAAGAGTCCCCAGATGTGAAAGACCTTTTGCAGCTGCAGTGGATTGGCATGCAAGGGATTTGGAAATCCACTGGTTGTGCAACCTGCAGCCATCAGGAACCCAGAGGGTAGGGAGACTGCCTGGTAAATGTGCCTGTGCCCTGTGAAACTGGGCTGCTCTCCTGTTTGTGCATGTTACTACAGCCAGGGATACAAGCAATAGTGCACCGGTTGCAATGAATGCGTTTTAGCTCAGTAGGGCCAAAGATTTTCAGAGGGCTGGAGCACCTCTCCTATGAGGACAGGCTGAGAGAGTTGGGGCTGTTCAGCCTGGAGAAGAGAAGGATGCAGGGAAACCTTACAGTGGTCTTCCAGTACCTAAAGGGGCCCTACAGGAAAGCTGGGGAGGGACTTTTTACAAGGGCATGTAGTGATAGGATGAGGGGGAATGGCTTCAAACTGGAAGAGGGGAGATTTAGATTAGATATTAGGAATAATTTTTTCACTGTGAGGGTGGTGAGGGACTGGCCCAGGTTGTCCAGAGAAGTTGTGGAAGATCCATCACTGGAGGTGTTCAAGGTTAAGCTGGATGGAGCTTTGAGCAACCTGGTCTAGTGGGAGGTATCCTTGGCCATGGTAGGGGGGTTGGAACTCAATGATCTTTAAGGTCCCTTCCAACCTAAACCATTCTATGATTCTATGATTTTAGCTCTGATGAGCCTCACAGAGCTGTGTTCATTCAGTCTAAAATGTCAATGGACACTGGTGATCTAAAACAGAAAGCAAAGGCTACACAAGGCTGAGTGCAATCTGCCATCCTAATTCATCCTCATGACTTGCGTTACTGTCTGTACACTCAAT